ACACACACACACACACACAACCCCCACTATCCACCCTACACCAACTCCCTGCGGGTGAAATCGCCGCACACACAATGGTCCTGAAGTATGTTCCAATTTACAAATAGTGCCCCTTAAAGGTCACGAGTTGTAAGGGGAGAGGAACACTTCATCCAATCGTGAGCATCGTTATGACTTATATTTTTGAAATTAAATCTCCTGATTTGATGACAATGACCGCTCGTGCCCGTCAAGCGCCACTACGCCTAAATCGAAGCATGCCTCAGGCGGAGTGAAAGTTAAGAGGGATTGTATGTGTGTGCGCGCAGGGGCAGACGCCGCTGCACCTGGCGGTGGAGAAGGGCGACGCGGCGGTGGTGAAGCTGCTTCTGGAGCGCGGGGCGGACGTCCGCGCCGTGGCCAGGGACGGTCGCACGGCGCTGCACGTGGCGGCGGAGAACGGACAGGTCAAGGCCATGGAGCTCATTCTGCAGACCGGCGCCGAGCAGGTGCTCTTACATTCCACCAAAATACCAACTTTCTTTCTTCTTACTCTTAATTCAGTTTTCCTGTGAACGTAACAGAGACTACGTATGGCATATGGGATCGGTGGGGTGGATGGTTGCTAGTTGTTTCGTGGCAGGAGTGGTGGATGGATTGCCAGTTGTTTTCTAGCAAGTGGAGTGAATGTGTCTCCAGATGTTTTGTGGCAGGAGGGATGGATATGCTGCTAGTTGCTTCGTGGCAGGTGAAGTGAATGGGTTGCCAATTGATTCGTGGCAGGAGGGTGGTTGTGCTGTCAGTTGCTTCGTTGGAGCTGGGGTTAATGGGTAGCCAGATGCTTCATGGTAGGTAGCGTGGATGGGATGCTAATTGATTCGTGGCAGGTGAGGTAGATGGGTTGCCAGTTGTTTCATGGCAGACTGGGTGTATGGGCTTTCAGTTGCTTCGTGGTAGGTGCGGTATACGAGTTGCCAGTTTCTTCGTAGCAGATGAGGTTAATTGGTCTCCAGATCCTTTATGGCAGGTAGGATGGACAAGTTTTCTGTTGTTTGTGGCAGTTGAGTTGTCAGTTGCTTCGTGGCGAGGGGTGGATGCTTGCAAGTTACTTCGTAGGAGCTGGGATTAATGGGTTACCAGTTACTTCGTGGCAGACGTGGTCAATGGGTTGTCAGTTTCTTCGTGGTAGATGCCGTAGATAATTTGCTAGTTTCTTCGTGGTACGTGACGTGGCTGAGTTACTTGTTGCTTCGTGCTAGGTCAGATGAACGTGTTGCCAGTTGCTTTGGGGTGGATGGGTTTCAGTTTTTTTGTGGCAGATGGCGTGGATAGGATGCCAGTTGCTTCGTGGCAGGTGAGGTGGCTGAGTTACTAGTTGCTTCGTGGCAGATTGTGTGAATGCATTGCCAGCTGCTTCGTGACAAGTAGGGAGGATGATTTGCCTGTTTCTTCGTGGGAGCCGGGGTGATGGGTTCCCAGGTGCTTCATTAAACTGCGGAGTGGATGGGTTTCCAGTTGATTCGTAGTAGGTAATATGAATAGGTTGCCCGTTTCTTGGCGGCCGCAGGACCTGAACGTGGTGGACAGCCGCGGCGAGGCGGCCGTGCACGTGGCCATGGAGAAGGGCCACAAGCGCCTGGTGGAGCTGCTGCTGCGCGCGGGCGCCGACGGCAGCCTGGAGGGCCGCGCGGGCCTCTCGCCTTTCTTCTGGGCTATCAAGCGCGAGCACCTCGACCTGGTGCGCCTGATGCTCAGCCTGAACCTCGACG